GCTTTTTGTTGTAAAATGCTCCTTACTTTGTGGGGGGGTGTAAACTGCTAGTGAAGTCCCAAAGGTTACCTTTTTGGCTTCTTCTACTAATAATGCTATAGCTACAATTGCTTGTAAGCAAGTGGGCTACCCCCTGTTGACAGGATCAAGGAGTTTTGACAAATATCTAACATGCTTTTGGTCCCTGTCCAGTCCTGAGTCAGAACTCTATGGGTGGTGTGGTTACTTACAGCCACGAATAACTGGAAGGGCCTTTTTACATTGGAGAGACTCAGCACTGGAGCTGCCATAAGGGTTTCTTTCAGCTCCTTAAACTTTCCTCATCTTGGTCTATTTGAGCCTGTTTGTGGTAAGCTTTTTGTAAAGAAATCTTACCTTATTACTGTAACTTTCAATCCATTGCCTGTAATAGCTTAGAAGTTTCAGTAATTGTCTGACCTCTCTCTTTGTCTGTGGGAGAGGTAATATAATTATCCCCGCCACCACCCGGTCCAGATCCAATCTCTTTTTCCCTTTTGTTGACCAATATCTTAAGTACTTCACCTCAGGCTCTGTGAATTGTAATTTAGATTTTTGAAACCCTTAAACCCCTTTTTCCCAAGAAGTTTGACAGGGCTATAGTTCCTGCCTTTACATCCTCCTCCTTAGGACTAGCCACTAATATATCATTTACATATTGTAACAATTTTGTCCCAGGAACTGGCACAAACGTAATAATTTTTCAAGGGCTTGGCCAAAAAGATTCGGTGAATCCACAAAACTTTTAGGCAGGGAGGTCTATCTTAATTGTTGTTTTCTTTGTGTCTCCGGGTCCTCCCACTGGAAGGCAAAGTAGTCCCGACTTTCCTCAGCTAGAGGACAAGTGTAAAAGGCATCCTTTAGGTCAATTACACTATACCAAGTGTCTTCCAGAGATATGTTATTCAATAGAGTATAAGGATTAGAGACCATGGGGAACAGGGTTTTGGTTCGTTGATTTACAGCCATTTAATCCTGTACCAATCAGTAACTGCCATCAGGTTTTTGTACTGCCAATATAGGTGTGTTATGTTTGGACATGTAGGGTTCTAGCGTACTCTTCTTTAATAAATCTTCAATTACTGGTTTCAGCCCCCTCCTCCCATCTAAAGGGATGGGGTATTGTTTGGTCCTTATGGGATCTTCTGGTCTCTCAATTTATATATATATAGGTTCTATGTCCAATCTCCCGGCCTCTCTTGGAGTGTGCCAGACCCTGGGATCGATCTTTTCCTCATCCTCAGCGGTTAATTTACACAGACTTACAATAAGCTGTGAATCCCTTGCAATTACACTTATTCCTAACGCCACTATCAAATACTTTCCCAATAAGTTATAATCAGCTTCCTCTACTAACAAAATATCACCTAAACAAATTTTATTATCAGATTTAATTTCCACATCCTTTAAAATGGGAACTTGGAAGGGTTCTCCCTTTGCCCCAATCACCATCATAGAGTCTTTGCTTTTTAAACACCCAGGAGGCATCTCTTGAACCATAGTCCTCTCAACTCCTGAATCTACCAGAAAAACCAACTCCTGCATTTGGGGTCTGACTTTCAATTTTATCAAGGGCTCTCTAGATGCTTTGACCTTTAAATTGTAGAGCTCCTGATACTTTTATTCCTTTTGAAAAATCATTTCACCTTTCATCTTTTTTTTTTGCAATTCTTCTTGAAGTGACATTTTTGTTTACAGTAAAAGCACTCAGGGGTACTTACTTGTTTGTCTTTCTTTTGTGAGGGTCCCAGCTTTCTCTGTGGCTTCTGAGCCTGCATTGGCTTTCTAGTCTTTTGAGCTTATTCCTGTTTGTGGGTTTCCCTTACCACTGCCACCAACACCCATGCCTGGGTCTTTTGTTTTTCCTCATGTACACCTTTTGGGCTTCCTTCAACAACTCCTGTAAACTTATCTCTTGCCAATTCTTTATTTTTCTAATTTCTTTCTAATGTCTTCTCATGAGTTTTGAGTTTTTAATAGAATCTCCCCCCACAGGAGAGTCTGGGTATGTCTCAGAGTACATTTGGAGGCTCCTCCTGAGTCTTCCCAACCATTCAGTGGGGGTCTCATCCGTCCCTTTGTTGCCCGTAAAGAGAACACAAAACAACCAAAGTCGTTTTATGCGGTGCTTTATTGAGGCCCCTGGGAGCCTGAGGACTAATGTCCAAAGTCAGAGCCCCCCGAGCTAACAAATCATTGCGTTTATATAGAGTCTATATCAACGGTTGATTAATTCAACACATTTTTGTGAACGTTACACTCCAACAATCATTTATTTACAAATTAATCCTTGTCTAAATTGAACATTTTTATGATCATAACTTCTCTTCACTCTGTTAGGTAAAAACAATGTATTCCCCCAAGATCTACCTATCCATCTTGTGAATAATGACATGTTCTACCACAGCCTACTCTTGGAATGTATTCTGAGATAAGTTCCTACCTCTCCAGTATTCCGTACTGCCCTTACCTAACAACTGTTTCTAACAACACACAGCCTATGGCCTACTAAGAATTCTAAGCCTTAGCCAAACTACTTCTACTAAACTTTTGCTAGTCTGAAATGCAACAAATCCCCCCTTTTGAGCATCCTTCAATCTTCCAGTTGCAAGGATGCTCAACCAGTAGTCTTCAATCCGTCTTCTCGATCTACTGAAGGAGATGGAGGAGGCGTGGTACTCCTTGTCATTGCGTTGATCAGTCTCCGGGTATGAAGTCGTTCTTTGCTAACGATCCCTGTCATACACTTGTAAGCTCCGAGCACAACAAAGGTTAAAATCAGCAGCATTATCACATATTGAATTATTGACGAAATCCAACCAGAGACCTGGAGCCCCATAGAACTAAACACTTCCCCTACCCAATTGTGTTCTGCTTGTTGTTCTAATTTCTGGGTCCTATCCTCTACTTCTTCTAGCTGAGATATATCTCGTTCGACCTCAACTGTTACATTTGGAATATGGATACAACAATGATCAATTTTCTGATTTAAATATCCACATACCCCATGCTCTTTTAACAGCAACAAGTCCAATGCCATTCGGTTTTGTAAAGTCATCCTGCTAGTGGCTTGCAATTGTAAATTTAAATCCTTAAACCCCTTTTTGGTGGTGGCAGCTAATCTTTCGGTTTGCCCCATTAGCTTATATAGCATATCCCTATTCCGATAAGCTGCTATTGGTGAAAAGAGTGATTCTTGTGCCCATCCAAATTTTACACCACCATCAGGTTCATGCCACTGGTCTTCATCATTTATATTTCTTTTAATTTTCGATTTTAACCTTGATTGTTTCCACAACGGGCACAAGGTGGGAATTCCTAAAGTTACCTGAGTGACTGGTCCGTCAATGGGCATATGTGTGGTTCATTCCCCGTGTCCCATTACCCATACCAAATTCCCTGGACTCCTAATGGTTGTAGACTTACAGCTGATGATTCCTGTACCGTTCTTATTTCCCTTAGTTTCTCCTCTTATGGTATGGTTATATCCCCTACACTCGCATCCCCATTTTAACAAAACTCTCACTGGTACTAACCCAATCTGGGTCTCAGGGGTATCGCAAGTTATTACTCGAGTACAATTCCATATTTCCTTCTGTTCCCTAATCTGTCTTTTTGTAGTATGTAGATTCATTACGCTTGAGTGAGTCTGATTCTTAGTCCCGCTCCATTGTACGCACCAATGAACTTCTCCCAAATAACTGTAGGTTTCTAAAAGGCCGGGTCCCCAAATTGCTCCCCATTCATCTTCCAAGGACTGAGTTTGAGTAATATTTTGGCAAACCTCTACTTCCTTTTCCCTTTCAGCTCTTAATATTATTTTGCTACAGGGTACTGGAGCAGAATATCCTGAGATAACACATTGATATTGTTGGATCGGAGTTTCTAACCATCCGTAATATCCTGACATCCCTTGACAATATTCCCTAGTGACTCGTTCAAGTATTAAGCATCCATGCTGCCACTCATAATATTTCTGAGAAACAAGCTTGCAACTCTGTGTCACATTTAGGTAGGCCTCAGGCATATCCCCAACCGGTATAATTCCCCAGGGGATTGGTTCTTGTTATAAATTTGCGCCACAACGGAACATAATCCAATTAAGAATTTTATTAATTTACAGCAAGTAGGATATGAACAAAGGTAACAGAGCGCTGGGTAGCAGACCGAATACTTCCAAAAACCCGAAGCTCCGGCTGCTACCCCGATTCTCTCAAACTGTCTCCTTTTATTCCTATTTCTTCTTTTGTCTCCCTGGAATTTGCAAGCCAATTCCTGCCGTTATCTTGTGTTTGTTTAAGCAGTCCCTAGTGTGAATGGTTGTCGTGATCTTTATCTTCAGTCTCCGGTTGAAGTGCTTGTTATCTTATCTTGCATCAGCTGTGTCCATTCGCTGTTTGCATACCTCCGTGGCCTAACCTTATCTCAATAGACAATACCTCAGTCTGTATTTTTCTCACAGTTGTCTAACTTTTACATATATCTTAATAAACAATATCTCAATCTGTAGTTTCTCACAATTGTCTAACCTTTACATATATCTTAATAAACAATATCTCAATCTGTAGTTTCTCACAATTCCCCCCCTTCTTCTCTTTATCCTATTATTGTTTATTAGACGTTGCTTTCATTCTCGGCACTGTAAATAAACCTTTTTCCACAATCCCAACATTTATCATAACACTCACATGGTAATACTTCACAATTACAATAGGCGTAGCCCCCTCGTGGCATAACACATTCACAACAATCTTCCTTCTCATTAATAGATGCATTTTTATATTTTTCCCCCGACCTCGTAATTAAAATTAGCAGTTTAGCTATGTCAAATCGTTTTTTAATATCGTGTACTATACAGCGTAATATACAAGGCCCGAATATAAGTCCCAGAATCAATATAATAAGCGGTCCTGCTAAGGCAGACAGCAAGGTGGTTAGCCAAGGTGAAACATTAAACCAATTTTCATACCATGTTCTGCCCGCCTCCCGATCTTTTCTACGTTGATTTAACCTTTTCCGGAGTTCAGACATAGTGTCCTGAACTACTCCCGTATGGTCAGCAAAAGAGCAACATTCTTCATTTAGCGCTACACATAACCCCCCTTCTTTTAGGAATAATAAATCTAATCCTCTTCTATTTTGCAGCACTACTTCCGATAAAGACTTTACTGAAGTGGCTAAATTTTGGATAGATTGTTCTATTTTTGCTAAATCTTCATCTACAGCCGTCTGTAAACTTTGTAATTCCTGACTTTTTACTAGGGAGGCTATGCCTGTACCTGCTCCGACTCCACCCGCTATTAGCAGTGTAGCTAAGGTTACCACTGTAATTGGTTCTCATTTTTGTATATTCAGGTCTCCTTCAAAGTGGCGTAACACTTCCTCAGAAGTGTGATAGATTAGAGGAGGAACAATTATCACCTGTACGCAGAACTGAGATTGATCAAACACGTTTAGGGATAGGCAAGGCGTTACTCCGATGTCTGAACAAACCCATTTAGCTCCTGGTGTCGGGATAGCCCATTTGTCATTTCTATTCTTGTGTCTCTTTATAGTTTTTGTAGTGATTATTGTTGTTTGTTTGCACAAAGGCTGATAATTTTTGGGCACTGTACCGATACATTTTCCTTGACCTGTTACTAATTGAATAGTAATTCCCTGCGTATGGTTTTTCTGGTCATTCCATGGGCATTCTCGTGGGTTTGAACCACTAGACCATTGAATCTTAGCTGGTTTTCCAATCGCCTCAAAATATGGTGGTCTAACATTATAACATAACCAGCATTCCTTAGTTAAATTTGGTTTGCTTTCATTAAGGGCACGATAAGAGGCTTGCATTAAATCCCATAAAGGGTCTTTGGATTTCAGCACACCTGAATCCCTACCAGTCACCACGTCATTAGCTGTTCTATTTGTTATCGATAAGGGGTTTGGACAAGTGGTTGTAACACTTGCGGGGACTATCTTTTTCGTAGGGGAAATGGGTGAATTCAATACTTTATTCGGCCCAACAGGGAGTGAATCATGTGGTATTTTAACTTTTCTTATGAGAAAATGCCTTCCCCCGTCTTTAGGAATTCCTCCATTGACACGTATTCCCCATGTTAGTCCTATTAACCACTTGTCTCCTAAGGGCTGTATTACTTGAAATTTGATGCGGGTACAGACTTCCCTGTCTCGTGAAGCTACATAATCCACGTCACGCAGACCTGTAAGATCTACACCTGTTTGTTCAGGTACACATCTGTTAGGAGTCCAGGTTGCTTTTATATATTTATCAGGGGCCTTTACTGACCAGCCCGAGGCTATTGTTTCACATCCCCAATAACCACAATAATAATGTCCGGGATAATTACAGTAAGACGGTCCAGAAGCCGGGCATATATAAAATGGAGGTCCTTTTCCACAATGTATCGGTACTAAATCACAAAGTTTTACTATGAATTCTGGTGGACCTGTGTTGCTAAAAGTGGCTATTGTTCTCGTTCCTTCCCAAGATATTAGTTCCCACTTGAATGGTTCATGTGGGTTTCCCCCTTCTGCCAGGGTTATTATCAATATCAAGACTAACGGTATACCAGGAAAAAGGGTGTCTGTCAATTTTACCAATTTAAGTAGATTTTTACCAATCCTGGGGAAGCTCTGTTGTTCCTGCTTTTGCGTCCCATTGTTCTGATTTTTTTCTCCACAGTCTGTTCCTCTTCTGCCTCGCCCGTCGACTCGGTTGCTTCGAGTCACGGGGTGCAACATCTTCTCGGCAGCAAGGGAATTCTTCAGGAGAACAGCTGTTTCGGGATTTCTGCCTGTTTACATAGGCTTCCCACTTTGCAGCTTGAACTAATGGGGCAAAGCAAGACACAGTTAGTACTTCCCTTCTACACTTTATAACCAAGATTTCAGCCACAAAGAGGACAGGTTCATTGGAATGGTAATAATAATATTGAGGGTATCCACATTCACAGCGTGTCCACCATTTATCCCGGCATACCTTATGCCTAAAACAAGCAAATGGATAACAACTGTAGTTTAAATCATTACAACTAATTTGTATAACTAGAGTACATATATTATTTACATCAGCATATCTTTCATATTCACTATTGTGTGGCTACATATGCTTAACAATTTCCTTCAGCACACGTTGTACGCTTCCATATATAATAGATAAAAAAGGAAATAATTATAGCAAATATAAACAGCAATACACACTTTATACCAAAAGGTAATGCAGAAAAAAAATCAAATAAAGTCTTTATCATTTTGTTATCTTTTTAGAGTTATCTTGGTGTCACCTGGAGTACTGATTACTTTCCAGTGGGGTCTCGTCACTGGGCCTTTAATGCGGCTGGCATGAGTCCATCCACGCTCAGCAGTCCGGACAGCTGTTTCTGTTGTCAACAAAACGAGATAAGGTCCCTCCCAATTGGGTTTTAGGGTTTCTTCCTTCCACACTTTAATCAATATCCAATCCCCAGGTTTAACTTTGTGTATTTTTAAGTCCAACGGGGGTCGTTGCACAATCAGTCCATGTTCCCAAAGCTGGTTACGATGTTCTGCTAATTGTGAAACATATTCATTAATCACACGGTCTCTAATTAAAACATTTGTTTGTGGGCTTTCAATTCTGTAGGACATTCCATACACCATTTCAAACGCTGATATTCCTACATCTGCTCGGGGTCTGGTTCTGAGAATTAATAGTGCCATAGGTAGGCATTTAATCCATGATAATTTGGTTTCTATCATTAGTTTAGTCAAAATAGTTTTAATTTCTCCATTCATCCTTTCAAATTTTCCTGAACTTTGTGGATGCCATGGTGTATGGTATTCCCACTTGATACCCAAGCTTTCTGTTAGATCTCTAACAATTTTTGACACAAAATGTGTTCCTCTGTCCGAGTCGATTACTTCAGGTACTCCATATCGAGGTATAATATGTTCAAGTAACACTTTAGTGACTTGGTTAGCGGTTGCCCTGGAGGTAGGAAAAGCCTCAACATAATGTGTTAAGTGATCCACCATTACTAATAAATATTTGTAACGCCCTACCCTAGGTAGTTCAGTAAAATCTACTTGTATATGTGAGAAAGGTCTGTATGCTGGGGAACGTCCCCCAAGAGGTCTCTGTTTCTCGCAGGCTGCCGTGACTGTCTTTGCTATATTATATACGCCTATACAGGCATACTGTCGATTGAAATGATCAACTAATGCCTGAGTTCCCCAGTGTGTTTTGCTGTGTATTTTTGAAAATATTTCAATTGCTATGCCCTTCGGCAAGACTTCTCTCCCATCTGGCAATATGTATTTCCCATCCTGTTCCTTAGCTCCCATTTGTTCTAGTTTTTCTTTTTCTGCAGACTCAAAACTCAAATTTTTACTAACAGGTACTTGTTGCATAGTCAGAATTATATTATAATTGCCTGCCACTCGTTTTGCTTCTGTATCAGCTGCATTATTTCCCCTAACTTGATAACTTCTACCTCGCTGGTGTCCCTTTATATGTACAACTGCTATTTTATTTGGCATTTTCAATGCCCCCAGAACTCGCCGAATTAATTCCTGGTGTACCAGCTCTTTTCCCTGTGAGTTAATAAATCCTCTTTCCTCCCATATTTTCCCAAAAGTGTGTACTACTCCAAACGCATAACGTGAGTCTGTATATATAGTTCCATCCTTTCCCTTCAGTGACACTAATGCTTTCCACAATGCATACAGCTCACAGGCTTGTGCCGACCAGCTGGCACTCAGGGGGCCTGATTCTCTTATCTTAAATTCTCCTTTTTCCCACTTAACGATGGCATATCCAGACAATCGTTTACCTTCCACTATTCGTGATGACCCATCTATAAATAATACTTCTCCACATTGTAGTTCTTCTTCTTCTAAGTCTGACCTAATGCGTGTTTGTTGTTCAATTGTTTGAAAACAATTGTGCAATAGTTCATTACCTTCTCCTGGGTACAAAAATTCAGCGGGGTTAACTGCTCCAATAGTTTTTAAAGATAGTTTAGGGGATTCTATAAGTATTCCCTCATACTTTAGTAATCGGCTATCTGTAAGCCATTTTTCTGCCTTTTGTTGCAGCACTCCCCTGATGTTATGAGGCGCATATAAGATAACTTCTCCATTAAAAGTAATGCAATTTGTTTCCTCAAGTAATAGGGCAGCAGCAACAATGATTTGTAAACAGCTCGGCCAACCCCTGCTCACAGGGTCTAACAGCTTTGATAGGTATGCCACCGGTTTCCTCTGTCCGGCCCATTCCTGAGTTAACACTCCGAATGCCGTTCCTTCGTGTATGTTAACAAATAAATGGAATGGCCGTTTTAAATCTGGGAGACTTAAAACTGGTGCTTGACTTAGCTCCCTTTTGAGGCTGGCAAACTGCTCTTGATCCTGAGGAGTCCACTTGGGTATTTTGCCTTTAGGCAATTGTTCATATAAGAATTTAACTTTAAAGCTGTAGTTCTCTATCCATTGCCTACAATACCCAAATAGTCCTAATGCCTGCCGAATTTGCCTCTTAGTGGCAGGCATAGGTAATTCCAGAATTCCTTTAATACGCTCTGGATCTAATATCTTCTGGCCGTTAAACAGATAATGTCCCAGATATTTCACTTTTTCCTCCACAAATTGTAACTTTTCTTGTGATACCTGTAGTCCCTTTTGTGCAAGAAAGTTTAGGAGTCGAATGGTTTCTTTCTTTACATTCTCCTTATTATTCCCCGCTATGAGCAGATAATCTACATATTGTAACAGCACATTCCCCGTTTGTACCTGATATTCTGTTAAGAGTTCTTCTAGGGCCTGTCCAAACAGATTAGGGGATTCAGTGAACCCTTGGGGGAGCACGGTCCATCTTAATTGCTGTCTCCGGCCCGTCTCTATGTCTTCCCATTCAAAAGCAAAATAATTACGGCATTCTTCTGCCAGCGGACAGGCCCAAAAGGCATCCTTTAAATCAATCACACTATACCAAGAATTATGTGGTCCTAGTTTGCTTAGCAATGTATATGGATTTGCTACTACAGGGAACCGAGTGATAGTTCTTTTGTTTATTTCCCTTAGATCATGTATGAGCCGATATTTCCCATTAGGTTTTTTTACAGGCAAAATGGGGGTGTTAAAAGGTGACATACAAGGCTCTAAGATTCCTTGTGCCAACAATCAATCAATTTCTGGCTTCAATCCTCTCCGTCCTTCTAAGGATATGGGATATTGCCTTACCCTCACAGGTACGTGGGGTTCGGAAATTTGGATTTTAATCGGTGGCATTTCCAGTCTACTAATTGTGTCCGGAGAGTACCAAACATTGGGGTTAATTTGGTTTTGATCATCCACAGTCAAAGGATAAGCAGATACTGCCAACTCTTGATTTTTTACTTTAATTTCTAATTGCAGTTCAACAATTAAATCTCGTCCTAACAGATTAAATTCTACTTCAGGGACGAGCAAGAGTTCACCCATTCCAAATTTATTTTCAGTTTCGAATATCACATTTTTGATTTTTCTCACCTTAAAGGGTTCCCCTTTTGCCCCAATTACTTGTACCTTTTCAGGGGAAACTTTATATCCCTCAGGTATTTGCTTAATAGTTGATTTCTCAGCCCCAGTGTCTACCAAAAAGGTGAACTCTTGTTTATGGGGACCTATTTTTAATTTTATCAAGGGCTCACGGTGGCTCCGGTCCCCTAAAATATAGAGCCCCTGACTTTCCTATTCCGTTTTCAAATTTTCCTCGTCCCTGATCCTTTCTCTGCAATTCTTCTTTATATGTCCCTTCTTTCCACAGTAAAAACAAGATCTCTGTTCCTTTTCTATGTCTACCTTCCCTTGTTTCATCCTAGCAGATCTGTGTTCACCAGTTCGCCCTTTGCGATCCTCTCTGACCGCTGCTACCATCATCTTTACTTGTCGCTTGCTGCTCTCTTCTTCCCGCCTTACGTAGACTTTCTGAGCTTCCTTCACTAATTCATCCAACCCTCTATTCTGCCAGTTCTCTAACTTTTCAATCTTCTTTCTGATATCTTCCCATGATTTTGCCACAAACTGAGTTTTGAGGAGCGCTTGTCCTAAAGGATCGTTTGGATTTACCCCAGAGTACAGCTGAAGGGCTTTCCTCAGTCGTTCCAGCCATTCAGTAGGACTTTCATCTTTCTTTTGCATTTCATTAAATGCTTTATTGATATTCTGCCCACGGGGTACTGCTTCCCTAATTCCCTGAATTACTATAGTTCTCAGGTCCTGCATATGAGTTCTATGAGCTGGATCCTGATTATTCCAATTAGGTCTTTGGAGTGGCCATTTAATATCTGCTTGAGGTCCCTGGGCATGCTGAGCATCCCACAGTCTCATTCCTGCTCGTCTAATCATATCTCTTTCCTCGGTAGTAAATAATTGACCAAGGATAGATTGCATCTCATCCCAAGTATAAAGGTTTGGTCCCAAAAATTGATCTAGTCTTTCTGCTACTCCGAATGGGTCCTCAATTAAGTTTCCCATCTCGGTTCTTTTAAAATCTCGTAAGTCGGCAGAATTTAAGGGTACAGAAATATATCCAACCACAGGTTGAGGTCCTCCCATAGGTACTTCCCTTAGGGGGTACATCTGAGCTGCCCCTCTTTGACTTCTAGTTACACGTCTAGGAGGGGGTGGGGATCCTTGTTCTGATTCTGGTGGGGGAGTGGGCGCTCTGGGGATCTCTGGAGGGGCTGCGGGAACAGGAGGAGGAATATAAGGAGGGAGGGTTAGAAGGGTTTCGTCTAACTCTTCCTTCTTTTTCTGGGATTTAGTTTTTGTTTCTTTTAATGAATAAAGTCTAGCCCCCGGCCTTTCTAGCCACACTTCCGCATATAGACTCTCCTCCGGGTTAAAGGATTTTTTATTATTAACCCAGAGGTTTAATTGCTGTCTTACCCAATCTTCTTCTGACCCATAGACTGGCCAAATGACATTTTTAGAAATCTTCTTCCCTCCCCATATCTTAGTACAATATTCTATCATTTTTTGCTTATCTTTCCCTAGGGTTCCAGGGAAATACTTCCAATTATCTAAGATATATGCCAGAGGGGTATTCTTAGGTACAGAGAGTACCCCCCCCATGGGAGTCGAAGGCTTGCTGCCCTTCGCCCCCATCTTCTGGAATATCCACAAACACACACTCACTCGCTCCTCTTGTTCCTGGCCCAGTCCCTCGCGGGAGATGGAAAACGCAGTACTTAAGAGTCCACACTTGCTTGGTTCAGTATATCGAACCTCTCATTCGTTATATTCAGGGAAACCCAACCCCGCCCGAACGGCAAACCCGCGAACAATTTCGCCGCCAACAGTTTCGCTCTGCGAATAATTTCGCAATATACTTACGCGTCCTGCGTCTTCGTCCGGACTCCCGTGCACAGAATTTTTATGGGATTTTACCGGTTTTTTCCTTTGTTCATTATCCTAGATTTTAGGTTCGTCGGTAAGGTTGAGGAAAGCTGTTGATCACGGGGCCGCGAAATATCGCAGGGCGCCTTTCCCCGGAGGATCAAAAGCCCACCCTTCCTTATCCGAGTCACGGCACCAGAAATTGTTATAAATTTGCGCCACAACGGAACATAATCCAATTAAGAATTTTATTAATTTACAGCAAGTAGGATATGAACAAAGGTAACAGAGCGCTGGGTAGCAGACCGAATACTTCCAAAAACCCGAAGCTCCGGCTGCTACCCCGATTCTCTCAAACTGTCTCCTTTTATTCCTATTTCTTCTTTTGTCTCCCTGGAATTTGCAAGCCAATTCCTGCCGTTATCTTGTGTTTGTTTAAGCAGTCCCTAGTGTGAATGGTTGTCGTGATCTTTATCTTCAGTCTCCGGTTGAAGTGCTTGTTATCTTATCTTGCATCAGCTGTGTCCATTCGCTGTTTGCATACCTCCGTGGCCTAACCTTATCTCAATAGACAATACCTCAGTCTGTATTTTTCTCACAGTTGTCTAACTTTTACATATATCTTAATAAACAATATCTCAATCTGTAGTTTCTCACAATTGTCTAACCTTTACATATATCTTAATAAACAATATCTCAATCTGTAGTTTCTCACAGTTCTCCTGCTGATTGAGCTAATGGTAAACAGGCTGTAATCTTTGTCACATTCTGAATTACTCCGAAATCCCTTATTAATCCTACTATCAAATTTTCTTGCTTAGGTCTAGAGTAAAATGTCATAGTCCTGTTCTTTGACTCCCTGATTCTTCTAAATTTTGCTTTTCCTCGGGAAAAAGATATAGCTGTTCTAGCATGTCCCCACCATGCGTCCTGAGCTACCCAACACCAATAATTCCCTTCATCCAACACCTGGGTATCCTTTATCACCAAGGTCAAAACTCCTCCCAACCGATTCCCTATTTGATATTTCTTTCCTAAATTTACATTTCCTGACTCAAACCACCATCCGAATTCTGAATAAGAAATGTTATTATCTATTCTACACGTCAAAGTTGTTGATGTCCCCTGCACAGCCCAGTACACTCCATGGGTGGGGTGTATCTTCTTTCCTAAATGACTCCTTCCTTGCACCTCTCTCCTGCCGTATGTACCATCTATTCCACATACAACCACACAAAGGTACAATCCCTCGTCTCTTCCTAGCCTTGGCTGAGTATAATTTAGCCACCCTACACCTTTTCCATCCTCTTCCCAAAAATTGCTTCTCCCATCCGGTTTTTCCCAATTTCCTTGTTTATTGAATTTCCACCAAGTGACCGTGAACCTAGATCCACACTCTTGTTGTATGGTAAACGAACAATTTATTCTAAGAGGGGGTCCATCCCACATGTCTACTCTTGCCCAATAGGGTATCATGGACACTTTTGAATTCTCCTGTTCCCATGATTGAACTCTCAATCTAATATGTTGAAAACTATAGCTCCACCGTATTCTAATTAAACAAACATAGGTGTCAGTATCTGCGTGGGTTACTCGAGTCAATTTTAAAGTAGTGTTACCTCTCTGGGTTTCCATATTCCACACTGTAACAGAAGTGAGGTTTTTAAATACTTGCCCTTTTTTCCAAAACACAACTATTTCGCTGGCTCCAGCTCCCTGGTTGTCAGAAAATTCACAGACCATCCTTACAGATTTCCCTTCCATAGCTCCGATCACAGGTTCTGGAACAGTAACAATGACATGTCTATCAGCAAGCACAAATTTGGAAATGGTTATTAAAACAATGATTAAGAGTACTTTGCCCGAAGAATTAGCCGCTTAGGAGT